ATTGAAATTACTGGTTTTTATTTTTTTTTTGCTTCCTTAGCTAGTGTGTCGGCTACAGCATTCCCTTCCCTAAAGTTATGTTGAAGTTGAAGGCCCTTCTCCTGGAGCATTAATGACCTGCAAGAAAGAATTAGATTAGTGAGCACGGAATGACCATTTTTTATTACGTTGATTACCTCCGTTGAGTCTGTTTCAACTTCAAGAGGGTAGAGATTGTATTTTTTGGCCAGCTGAAGTCCTTCCAAGAGTGCCTGTAGTTCTATATGAAGAGGAAATAGAGCGTAGCATTTCTTTTGGAATCTTATGATCCATTTGCCCAAGCTATTTCTGAATACTCCCCCTATTCCGCCTTCAGTTGTGGTCCATGCTCCATCTATATTGAGTTTGAACCAACCTTTTTGTAGAGCATGCCATTTTACATGAGTTATTTTTGTGTCCTGAGTAATGGGGTTGTTATTATTGAGGAAATGGAATTCAATAGCATGGTTATAGATGGATTTTAGGCAAGGTTTTCTATTGAAGTTGTTAATGTTATTGTAGTTGTGGTTGGTCCAAATTCCCCATATTAGGAATGGAAGGAGGTGTCGTCATTCCAAATGAGGTGATTTGATTGGGGGTGTTGAATATGAGAATGAGCCAGTGTTGATTGTTAGTAGGGGAGGGAGTGGAGATACCAAGCTTATTCCATAGAGGTTGCACTATGGGACAGTTAATGAAAATGTGCTCTATAGATTCCTCTTCCGTTTTGCATGCACGGCAATCTTTATTAATATAAATCCCAATATGATTTAGGTATTTCCTACATGAAAGGCTATTGTGGAGACATTGCCAAAGGAGGTACTTCATTTTGTTAGGGCAGTTGGACTTCCAAATTCACATGAACTCGTGATGATGCTTTATAAAAGGTTTAATGATATTTAGACAGGATTTGCTAGTGTAGTGGCCACTAGAGTTCCTGTTCCATATGGGGGTGTCCTTACAGTTATGGAGTGGCATGGGGATTTGATGAATATTATCCATTATACTTGGGGGCAATTGGAAGGAAAGCTTTGAGAGGTCCCAATGACCGTTAGTAATAATATCTCTTATTTTTTAGAATGGTTCATTTTTATTAAGAGGGCCCTCGATGCTTTCCCTTAAGGGCTGGAGGTTAGGAATCCAATTGGATAACCACAGGTTAAGGCTAGAATTTTTGCATAGTTGCCAAGTGATGCCTTTAGAGCATATAGACCATCCTTTGAGAATTATTTTCCAAATGAAAGAGGTGTTGGATGGGGTTTTATTCCTAGTGTACTTGAGAATGATAACTTTGCACCAAAGGGCTGTAGGGTTAGTAATTATTCTCCATGCTAGGTTACTCAGAGCAAGAAGATTCTTGGTGTTAGCATCTTTTATGTCGAGCCCTACCTCTTCTTTGCTTTTTGTAACTGTGTTCCAATTTACATAGTGGACTTTTTTGTATTCATTCGTAGTACCCCAAATGAAGTTACGTTGGATACGATCAATTTGTTTGAGAGTTTTGACGGGGAGAAGAGTGTATTGCATTACGTGGCTCGGAATGGCATTGAGGGTGGAAGATGCAAGAGTGGTACGTCCTGCTATATTCAGAAAATTTGCCTTCCATGAAGATAATTTCTTATGCATATTATCAATAATAAATTGGTAGTCACTTGGTTTTGGATGATTTTGAAGAATAGGAAAACCAAGGTACTTACTTCCTAAAGGATTTGCTCACAGTAAGATTAAGATCTTTAGCAACTTCTTTTGCCATGGAAATGGGGCAGTTATTGGAGAAGATTATTTTTGACTTGTGGTAGTTGATGTTTTGACCTGATAATGAGAAAAAAGAAGAAATGCTTCTCTTTATGGTGTTACAGCTTTTCTTGTTGACCTTGCCCATAAGGGTAAGGTCGTCTGCAAAGAATAAATGAGAGATACCCTGATTATTTGGGCTGAGATAAATTGGATCCCAATTGCTAGTGTCAACTTGGTGACAGATTAAGCGCGAGAACATTTCCATGCACAGGATGAATAAGTAAAAGGGGACAGGGGGCACCCTTGCCTAATGCCCCTACTTGGACTAAAGAAGGATGTAACTGATCCATTGACTAGGACTGCAATGTTGCTAGTAGTTACGCAATGGATGATTAGTCTTGATATAGAGGGAGGGAATTTGAAGGATTTGAGCATTTGATAGATGAATGGACCATTCAAGGCGATCAAACGCTTTTTCTAAGTCAAGCTTGAGCATCATGCTATATTTCTTTCCTTTACTTTTTTTGAATTGGTTCATAATTTCTTGAATTATAATAGCATTGTCACAAGTTCTCCTTCCTTTGATGAAGCTTGATTGAAAAGGGCTGATTAGATCATTTAGGAAGGGTTTTAATCTATTAGCAATAATCTTGGTAACAATTTTGTAGATAGTGTTACATAAACAAATTGGCCTAAAGTTTTTTAGATTGTTAGCATTATCAAATTTAGGAATTAGGCAGATGTACGTATTGTTGGTATCCTTTGGAAGAGTGTTAGTACGAAAAACCTGAAGACAAAGGTGTATGACTGAGGGGCCCATAGTTTTCCAATATTTCTGGTAAAAGAAAGGGTGGATTCCATCTGGCCCGGGAGATTTGAAAGGTTTGAAAGAGAAAATGGCATTTGTTATCTCATAGGGCATTATCAAATGAATCTAAATTAATATTGCCAAAGGTGGTTGGGCTGGTGATAATGTCCATCCAATTGGTATGTTGGTGAGAGGTGGTGAAGGCCTTGAGAAAAAATTCAAAAGTGTGTTTAAGGATTTCAGTAGGGTCATTAATCCACTTGCCATCCTCATCTTTGAAGTGAGTTATTTTGTTTTTCCTTTTTTTGTTGGTGGCCATGATATGGAAGAACTTAGTATTAGCATCACTATCTTGAACCCAAGAGATTCTAGCTCTTAATTTCCAATAGTCGTCTTCAATTCTCAGGTAGTTATTGTACTCAACTTGAAGAGATTTTTCGAGATTTTGGAGGAAGGTACTGTGAGGATAGTGATTGGAATTTTGAATACCATTTAGTAGCCAAAATTCTTTTTTTCTTCCTAAAAATGTCCCCAAAAACTTTATTTTTCCAATCCTTGATATTACTTAGGAAGGAATTGGATGCTTGAGGGTAGTTGGAACCTACCCAAGTATTGGTGACCAATGAACTGAAATCAGGATGTCTGCACCAGAACGTTTCCAGTCTAAAAGGTTTTTGAAGAATCAAATTAGATTGAGGAATTATTTCAAGTAAGAGGGGATTATGGTCTAAGTGTACTTTAGGGAGATGGGTAACAGACGCATTAGGGAACATACTAACCCAATCACTATTGGCATAAATTTTATTGAGCCTTTCCATAATAAGGCTATTTTTTTTCCTACGATTGGTCCAGGTGTACTTGCATCCTTTATAACCAAGGTCTAAAAGGCCACATTTATTAATGCAGTTCCATAGAAAATTAGCCCGGTTCCTATTAATAGTATTCCCCCCAAATTTTTTACTAGAGCTAAGAACATCATTAAAGTCACCGCCTACTAACCAAGGTCCCTTAGTAGATTTATGCAAATTAATAAGGAATTCCCATAAGGAGTTCCTATTATTAATATTAGTGCTAGCATAGATAGAAGTAAAAAGCCAAGATTTACGAGTTTGAATTACCTCAATAGTGGCACTGATTTCCTGATTTCTACGAACAAAGCTATGGACATTGACTAGAGTATGGTTCCATAGGATAACCATACCACCTGATTGACCTTCAGTAGGGATTTCAATCATATCGGTGAACCCAAATGGATTGAGGAGAGACATATGATTGTCCATCCTTGTTTCCAAGAGAGTTACCATGCAAGGATGGTGAGAATCGACCAACTCCCTAAAGTTAAGCCTAAAGTTGTCGTTGTTACCACCTCTAATATTTCAGATTATGAAATTGATGGGCCTATTCATCATGAGATTCCAGTTGTGAAGGTCTCCATTCTCCAGCACTCTTGGTGCATGAATTGGATTCCTTCTCTGGAAAGGAACCAAGATCATTGCATGCTTGCCAATGGTCGGATCTGCTGGGGTCCTTATATCCATTGTGCATTTGTAGAGAGCCCTTGGACACTTGAGAATCTGCCTCTGCTCTTGCATCTCCATGAAGATGAACACTTTTATCTCGTCGAGATTTGAATCCTCTAGTATTGGCTCTAGGGTTGAGTTGGGATCCACTACTTGTTCCATTGCTTCTGAGAGAGGAACGTTTGGTGGAATATTTTGGTGAGGTCGTGCGTGTGATGGTCCTGGTTGTTGGGACTGATTTGCATGTTGAGCATTTGGAACTTGATCCTGGGTTGCATGCACATCCCATGGAGTGAAGACTGGATTGATGTTGCTCATCACTTCTGGAGTGAAAAATGGGAGGTCCATCAGATTTTGGGTTGCATTTTGGATCGGGATGAAGTGTGAAGGTAGACTCCACTGTCCCATCATTGTCTGGGCTACATTTGGTGGTATGTTTGGGGCTATTGGATGGAGGATGTTGTTCACCCATACATGATTCATAAAATTATTCATTGCCATCCGGATCCCTTCCGAGATTAGCTGGGCTAAGTAGTGGGAGTTGTGGATGACTATTATCGTTTCCCTCATTCAACACTATGTTGAAGGATATGGCATGACCAAATAGACCCAGTTCCACCCATGACATAGGCTGGTGGTTTTGTGGCGTTGGAGGTAGATGAATATTATGGGAGTGTTGGTAGGAGGGTTGTTTTGGGGAGGTTGGTTCTCCATTGTTAAGGGTCTCTGACGTAGTAATTGTATTAGACGATATCGTCGTCTGTTTGGGAATGGGATTCTTGGCATTTTTTGATGGAGTGGTAATGTTTATATTGTATAGTTGTGTTGTTTCAGATTTGCTAGATTGAGGAGTATCTTTGCCAATGATTGCTTGGTCGATTTGCATGGCATTTGGGAGGGGAAGCGTAAAGGATTTATCAAGTGAGGAAGAGGATTGGGCTTGGTTTACGTGTCTGATGGCATTGGCCACTTGAAGGAGGTGTGTCATGCTTTTCATACAAGTGTTTAGGGTCTTTAGCTTCATGCATGGTTAAATTATTAATGTTAATTGGTTGATTTGGGTGGGTGACTGTGTTAGTGCATGGATTATGGTTATTAGGGGTAGCATTAGTGATTGAATTCGACACGTGTCTTGCTGATGTGTTGCTTAGAGTGTAGGAGTTGGACGTTTGGGTAGTGCCAGATTCATTCCCCTTTTGGAGATTAGTGGTTTTTTCCAAAACCAGGTTCTGTTCCATTAGAGCACGAAAGGGGTTAGTTGTTTGGACATTGTTGTTACTGCTTGGGTTGTGTTCTTTAGACATAGGTTTCCCAGTTAAGCCTTCAGTAGAATTATGATTGTAAGAACGAGATTTGTAATTGAAGACTTGAGTGGTGAGGAACTTACCTGTATTGGCATCAAAGATATTGACATTGATACCTGCCCCATTGGAGGATCCAGTGCCTTTAGTGGGAGTAGGGTTAGCCTTCCTTCTTTGTTTGAAGGAAACAGTCTTCCATTCTTCTTTTTCCTTTGGTGAATTTTGTTTATCATGACACGTCTGATCCTTGTCGCCGGTGTTGTTCATGGGGGTTATGGTAGTTGTCTCCTTTAGCTTGGTAGTACACTGCCTTGCTATATGTCCTAGACAGCCACAATTCTTACATAGAAGATTTTCACCCTCGTATAGGATCTGTTGTTTGTGGTTGCCTATCCATGCATTGGATTTCACAGGTTTTCTTAGAGGGAGTTCAATGCAGAGTCTAGCATAGCGGCCCCTTAAGGCTGCTGATGTACAAGCATCTACTTTAAGTAGTCTGCCTATGGTGTTTCCTACTTTTCCCACAATCTCTAGATCGTAAAATTCTGTCGGAAGATTTGGTAAACGGATCCATATAGCTGTTAAAACTTGTTTAGCCATAGCCGGAACGAAGTTTGGTTCCCAGCGTTGAACAGAAAGGAAATGGCCAAAGACAAACCATGGCCCTTTTTGTAATACAGTTTCCAGGTTTTCTTCCTTATTGAATTTAACTATGAAGTATTGTTCACCTAAATCTATTAGGGGGAAGGATTCTATTGGTTTCCAAAGGGCAGTTAATTACGTTTAAGAACTTGATGAAGGATTTTTTTTCCTAGAAGTTTTATAATGACTGAGAATCTCCAAGGGTAATAAATACGCTGTTTATCTTCCCCACTTATGGGGACTTTAATTTCTTCCTCGGGATTCTCACAAAACTTTTCATCTTCAATTTCATTTGTGTCCATGTCCGTAGGAGAGAGATATGACAAGGGTGTTGATATTGAGAAGGTTTCATTTTCCCCATTGGCTAGCAGCTTATCTTTAAAGGAGGCGGTTGAATTGTTATTGGATTGGAGGGAATTTATATCTGGTGGTTTTGGTGGAATTCCATCTTGGCAGTGTTCTTGATGCATTGAATTGGTGGGAGGAGATAAAACAGGAAGAAAACAATGAAGGTTGCTGGTGAAGTTTTTAGAGAGAAGGGAGAGAATTTCTCTTAGAGGTGGCAAAATCAAGCTTTGTGGATTTGCCAAACGAAATTTCTCTTCAAAATTACAGTATCAAACTTTCTCCCACACTAAGAAGTGAGTACTAATTCATCTTTAAAAGTAGTCGAGTCTTAGCGTATTGATCTTTTTACTCGATAATGATATTTTGTATTTACAGTTAGCATAAAAATCTATTTTCGCTTATCTAAATTAATGTAAAACTTTTTTTAGTCGGCAAACAAAGGAGAAGTCTCATAGAGCTTTAAGCAATATCCGTCAGTTAACTTTTCTTTATTTGTATTAAATATTTTATTTATTTTTATCTAATTCATTCATAACCTTTGTATATTCGATCCGAGCTGTCCGTTTGCCGCACCTATTCCTTAGTTTGGAAAATAGCTTATATTCTACGTAGTTCTAGTTGACATACAAAAATATCATGTGAGCGACACGTAGTCGTAGACCAAGGTGGAAAAGACATACTGCAAATTAGGAAAAGTGCTGTTTGAACTACAATATCAATATTGTCCTTTTCATCCCAATTAAAGATATCTTCAAAGGCTTTATATCTTTGAGTTTGTAAAATCACAAAGGGGTGGCCAATAAGGGTTTTGGTTGAGCACGTGAATTTTACAAGAGAAAGAGTAAGCCAAGAATAGAAACTTCGACAGTGACAAACACCATTTATTATTTCATAACTTTACATGTTGCTACAATTTTTGGTCCATATATATCTACCACTATTAATCTCCACACTCCTAACTCCCACCCTGCTCCCTTGGGTATTATTTTGGTGCATTAACATATTCAACACCTATTTAATTTGCATAAATTATCTTTGGGTGCAAGGGTCTAAACCCAAGACACCTGAGTTAAGCTGGAGGGTTCAAATTTCATCAGCAACGTATTTCATTCCCCTTCTCCCTCCCCTAATATATAAAAATAATTTTTTAAAACAAAAAAGAAACCCCAAGATATCTAGGGCGCGGTCCAGGAGCCATCAGGACTGGAGTATGACACTTGCTAGCAGTTTGTTACGGAGCTAGAAATTCAAAAAAAAAAAAAAATACAATACTATAGCTAAGATTGTAACCAATGGCGGAGCCATCTTATACCAAGGGGTGTCACTGACACCCCTTTGCGAAACAAACACACAATATAGCTAGGTAAACCTTTATATATATATATATATATATATATATATATATATATCCCATGAAATTTTCGTTAAAAACTTTTGTGGCGATACTCCTTTCTCTTGTTCATATTTTCCAAAATACTCTTTTCTTATGTCAAAGGAATACTAATTACAAAATCATAACTTCAAATGAATTTATTACCAACTGGGTCTTTTTTAACTAATAGTTGATATTTTCCAATTAAATTGATAAAATCGTCCTCTAAACATTTGTAACAATTGACAAAAGTAAAGGGGTAATATGGAAATCTAAAAACTTAAATATACACATTGAGACTTCTGTACAACAACGACAAAAGTAATATCCCACACTGTGGGGTCGGGGACATTGAGACTTGTGTAATAAACAATAAAAACTAGGGGCCTCAGTCGATGCCTAAATGTGTGGTCCTCATTCCAATGGCCTTATGAGAAATTTCCAAGAACTTTTACCATGCACAACATAATATTCTAAGGCAAATTGAGATGATTGACCATAAATTCAAACTTCAGCAAATAAGCACGTTTACAAATATGACTTTGTTTGCCAGTTGCCACATGATAGTCAGCAGCCTCTACTGTCATACACCAAAGCTCATTAGCATCCTACAGCTACTGGAGATTCCCCGTGCGTGGATTTTATAAATAATATCCAAAGTCTACGACTTGGTCTAACTGTACTAGTGAGATGGTAGCAAAGCAAGAACCGATGGAATAGTCAGGTGCGTGCAATCTAGCTCAACCCAGCTGCACATAAAGCCCGAATAAAAGCAAGCCGTCCAAGCAAAGGGCATAATGCAGCCATCTAAACTCACTGGACAGATAAGTAACCAAGTGGCAAAAAGTTAAGAGATATACCCACTACTCCCTTGTGAGAATAAGTACAGACTTGGTATGATATATAGGTTTAAGGCAACTAGGTAACTCAGACCTGATCAACCTCTTTTTTCACCAGTATACACAAGTCAGTAACTCGTAGTTTTATACATCCCCAATGAACAAAAAATTTAGATAACTCTAAAGCACAAAGACAGCAAGGTAATCCAGAGCAATGCAGGAAAAATTCTTGAGGTCCATACATCAGTGCATTTGGGAGCAGTTTTCATCTGCAAAAAAGAGACCAGAGGAGGTGTTGCTAACCTGTACAATGTAAAGAGTTTGTATATTCTCTTCCAAAAGAACCTATAACTTAGGAATGTTTTTCACACTACTCCTAACACGACAATTTTTGCCTAGTCTTGAAGGTGGTCATAGTCCCCATTTTCTGGAGACTGGTGCATGCCCTGACCGGTGCTAACCCTCCATTCAGTTTGATGTAAAGGCGTTGGTTGCATGCTGCGAGACTGCATCATAAACTGACCTCCGACCATATTTTGATGAGAAGAATCCACCACTGAGCGAAAGCCTACATTTGACATTGGTGACCCACTAATTTGCTGGGAAAGATCATTCTTTATTTCCCCAGCTTTTGAGTCAACTGAAAATGAGCCAACAATCACCTACCAACACAGTCAATAACAAGCTGTCAGAAAGTAGGAACTTAAAGTGACAAAAGAAAGGAAAAGATCTGATATTTCACAAGCAAATTAAATAGATTGATCACTGATTGTTGTCCTTCTTTGGTAAGTATCACCACTTCTTGTTTTTAAATGGGTCTTTCCTTTATTGCGAGAAAGTGAAGGATACATTTCGGTCATCTGGACTTGTACATATTAGTTGTGATTTTTAACTGTTTTTTTACAAGTATATTAGTTGTGATTTGTTTACCACAAGAAAACTTCAACCTTGTACATGGACAGATGCTTCACCAACTACTTCATTGGTGGACAAAGCATAAGGAAATAAAAACAAGAAGAAATGAAGAAACAGAATGAGTCTCAAGTTAGGTACCCAGTTATCAGTGAGAAAGCATGCCAACTGTTCAGCCAGTTTGGTCCCGTTAACAGATTTTTTTCTCTAATCTCAGATAAGATAATCTTAAGATCAATATCGTAATTAATGTTGTTGATGGCTAAGATCATAATAAAGGCTTATAAAATATTCTTGAAAGTAGAAAACCTGAATTGGGCCTCCAGCTATCAAGGGACCACCAACACCACCTCCAATAATTTGACCGTCTGTACTTGCCAGACACACACTAAGCCCACCAGTTCTGCCTCCAATCTCAGTGCGTACATAAGATCCAGAAAGAGTGAGAATGTCAAATCGCCCCTGACATGAAGTAATACAAAGTTATGATAACTGTGCTGAATACCTCATTGACAGGAAAAATGCAACAAAAGACCGTTGAATTTTGACTATGTTCTCTTATGACAGGCTGGAAGTGATGATCCTCTGGCATAGAAGAATGATGTTAATGGCAGCTTACTATAACTGTAAAACGGAAAAGGATAACGGGAAAACCCTGCTAGGCTGTTCTACATCCTACTGATAAAGCATGGATACTATTTAGGCATCTCAAAAATGTGTTGTTTACATGCTAAAGACAGACCAAATCTCTTATCAAAAAAGACTGAGACCAAATATTAAGCTGGTCTTTCTTGGACATTGAGCAAATAGTAGATGTGTTCAAGTGTCAGTTGACATATCTCTGATATAAAGTAAAAATACGAAATATTAAATCCTCTTCCTCTTATTTGTTTGGTGAGCATCGTGAAGATATTATGGTCCTAGAAGTAAGACCGGCCACTATCTCTAAAACAGAATTGACCAGAGAATGCTAGCCCTATGTTCTTTATTGGAATAACTGGTATACTTGATATATTTTTCCTTGTTGCATCTCAATATAAGTATAAAGTATTTGGTCAAGTTATGACCACTGCCATAAGAATACATAATTATGCTTGAACCGCAAAAGAGAAAATAGGGCTATGTGGGAACAAATAGTTAAATCTTACTTCCTCGAAAAGAAGGAACAAAGAGTTAAAGTAACACAAAAGAGGTTTCAAAAAAAAAAAGAAAAGAAAAAAAAAGTAAGGCGAAAGAGGGTAAGAAAGTTGGACTAATAGTCTAATATTAAACTATGTTTCACCTCCAAAGAAAGAAAAATAAAACACATAGTAGATCTACTACTACTTTGCTTGTATTAGGGGTGATAGCATTATTTGATCATTCCGGGGGAACTTTACACTTCTGGGAGAACCTTCCCCTCTCTCATTTTTAATCAAAAACCACAATATAAAAAGTAAAGCTTCACAATGGCTTAGATTCCAGTAACATTACGAAAATTTAAGCTGTGTGTGAAACATGTGTGGAAGTCAATTAAGAACCCCATGGGAATTTACGAAATCTCAGGGACGATATGGGGACTCTAACAATATCACGCTTGATTTGATGTGTACTATTATCAGTATATTTTTGCAAGTCATCCTGATTCCAATCAACAACAGTCAATTTTTTGGATAAATTCAATCAACAACAATGATGCACAACCAAAACAATAGAATTAGAGTTGAAAGCATGCAGAACAGAAAAGCAGCAAATTTCCTTCACAATATGATTAATTCTTGTATCTTCTTTATTCTGCTTTAGACCTATGTTTATCTGCAAACTCAGTGCTTCCCATTGCAAACCGCATCAGTAAGAAATTTTTACCTCATATGTAATACTTCCTCCAGATGTTGCTGGCTGACGCAGAGAGGCATTAGAGATTGAGCCAGATGCTGATAATACGCATAGTTCGTATTTGCTTTGTTGCATGAACATCATGATTTTCTGACCGACATCCTGTTACGTGAATTATGAAAAA